ATGAATGAATGGGAGAGACTCAACCATCAAATCCTTCCATCAGGCATAATGTGGTACAGAGAGCCAGGTGGAGCCCAGTTTCACTCTGGGATGGGCCCAGGACCCGCCCCTGCCCCAGTATCAACCCTAGAGGTGCCCTATCCTATATAATAAAAGCCTAATATGCTAAGTGTCCAGTTGACTGTTCAACCAATCAATGTGTAATATGCTAATGATATGCTAAGGCTGCTCAACTGCTCACTATGACGTGCACTGACCACCAGGGGGCAGACACTCTGACTGGTAGGTTAAGCTTGCTACTGGGGTCTGATTGATCAGGACTGAGTGAGACGGGCCAGACATGCTCTGGAGTCCTCCTGCAGCCCCTCCCTGGCCCTGATCATGTACTGGTGGGGTCCCTTGGCCTGGCCTGCACACTCTTGCAATCTGGGACCCCTCAGGGGATGTCATTGAGCCAGTTTCGACCTGTTCCCAAAGGCCAGGCCGAGGGACCCCACTGGTGCATGAATTCATGCACCCGACTTCTAGTTTAACAATAATCTATCATGACTGTTTCATGGCTACTGTCTTGTGGCATCTTACGCCTGGCATGCTGAGGCCACACACTTGGCTTTGAATAGTTTCCTCATCTCGGCCTCCAGTTTCTGGAGGCATTTCTGGGGTCTCAGCTGTCCCCAACCTTGTTCCTGTCCTCTGTCTTGGCTTTCAAAGGCCTCACGTACTGCCCGTCTCCGTGTGACTGGTCCACCCCACGCTGATATCATGCCCTCATCCCGGTCCCCATTATCTTAAATCAAAGTGCTGGGCAGCTGCCCCCGATGACTCAAGCCACCGTCAGGAGCCAACGCACAGTGGAGAGGTTGGCTCTGGGAGGAATGTTTCTATCTCCCCATTTATCACACTAAGAAGTTGGTTTCAAATTCTATCAAATAAGTCAAAAATCAAGACAGAGAACAGTGCCTTCTCTTTGTCTTTTCCAGAAGTAGCACCACCCTCTATAGCGAATAGATTTCAGGCATTTAATCTGGCAACCAAGTGACAGTGACTCCCAGAAGGCTGGCGCCTGCCAGTGGCAAGGCAAAGAGGGGGTGGGGGGAGGTAAGAAATATGCCTCTGATTTATCCTCATAGAAAAGAAACAGCATGTGGCCAGGTGGCTATTGATTACCCAGAACAAACAGGATGTGGGGGTGGGAAGAGAGGATGAGAGCTGTACACATGGCTGATAGCACATATCCTAGGAAGAATCCCCTAGACCAGCGGTTCTCAACCTGTGGGTTGCGACCCTTTGGGGGTCGAATGAACCTTTCACAGGAGTCAGATACAGTTCCTCATGTTGTGACCCAACCATAAAATTATTTTCGTTGCTACTTCATAACTGTAATGTTGCTACTCTTATGAATCATAATGTAAATATCTGAAATGCAGGATGGTCTTAGGCGACCCCTGTGAAAGGATCGTTCAACCGCCAAAGGGGTTGCGACCCACAGGTTGAGAACCGCTGCCCTAGACAAAGGGAGATGGAGGTGACTACAGAAAGCCCCACCCCATTTTTTAAATAACCCAATGGTAGACAGCAAGACCCAGGCGACCTATTAGGAAATAGGTGGCCAAATGGTACTCAGACAATGAGGAACTGGAGGAGGGTCTAAGTAAATCAGCTGTGTTTCTCGCCCCAAGTGTGATCCTGTAAAATGGGTGTCCGCTCTCTAGTGCAGCGGTTCTCACCCTCTGGGTCGCGACCCCTTTGGCGGTCGAACGACCCTTTCACAGGGGTCGCCTAAGACCATCCTGCATATCAGATATTTACATGACGATTCATAACAATAGCAACATTACAGTTATGAAGTAGCAACGAAAATAATTTCATGGTTGGGTCACAACATGAGGAACTATATTTAAAGGGCCAGAAGGTTGAGAACCACTGCTCTAGAGTGTTATTAAAAGTCTCATTTTCGCCATGCTTCTGTTTCCTAGTCCGTCATTTGAAATTTGGACAGGTGAGCCATTTCTCACAGAGGGGAGGGAGCCACAACTCAACATGATTCAACATGATTACCACCGGAGAAAAAAAGGGACCATCAATTCCACTCCACGAATGAAGTCCCTCAGGAAACCCTGCAGCTTCCTAGACAGCAGACATGCTGGGAATAGTAGGGTTGCTACTATTATGAATCATAATGCTCTTATTCCCAGGTACCGCAACCCTAATTGTGACTCTAATGCCCTTCCCTCTAGGGTGGCAATAACAGTAACTACGACGATGTCTTCGAGACTCTGGTGTCACACCAAACCCATCATCCCACCTATGGTTAAGCAGCGTGGTTTGCATGAACATGGACCTGTAGGATGACACTTCCATCTATAAGATAATCACAGCACCTACAAACCACAGGTGTCCTACAACAGCAGCTAGGAAATCTGTTTACTAGCGCAAGGATGATACAAGCTTCCCCGGCTTTTTCTCACCTTCGTTTCATATTCTCAGTCCCAACCCCAACAAGAGAAGAATCCCCGGCTCTAATCAACAGAATGAAGGGCTTTGGGAAGGGAGAGAAATGCGATGACCGAACGTTCCAGTTTTGACCGACTGGCAGTGACTTCCCAAGAGCCTTGTGTTGAGAAGGATTCTGATGGCACACCAGAGCCCATGAGAAATGCCCGCCTTTGGAACAGAAGGAGGAATGGCCGGCCTTAGACGTGCCAGACGTGCCAAGCCTGCCTTCGGTCATTTGAATCAGGTCAGACTGGGTACTGGAGTTTCTCCCCATCCTCTCGGCCCAGCCTACTCAAACGCATCCACAAGATCCCATTACAATGTCACCCAATGTCACTTACTTCTCTCCTTGACACTGTTCCCTTCTGCTCAGGGGAAAAGAAACCCTTGACTGTTCCAAAATGTGATCAAATGTGTAAACTTGACATCTTTCTTTACACTGGTGCCTTTCACACTGACCAGGGGATTTGCCTCCACACGCCTTTCTGTATCCCAGTGCCTGGTCCATGGTAGGGAAACACTGATCAGTTGCCTCCTGTATGTGCCCCAACCAGGGACGGAACCCAAAACCTAGGTATGAGCCCTGACTTGGAATCAAACCCACCACCTTTTTGGTAGATGCTCCAACCAATTGAGCAACCCAGCTGGGGCTCTACCAACAAATCTTTTAATTTAGTAAAAATGTGTGCACACAGCTACGTATAGAGCTGAACGCAATCATATTAATGATTACCTTTATTCCTATCCAAAACCAGATCCTGGGAGAGGTTTTGGGGTACAAGTTGTATATTTGGGAGGTGGCCCTGGGAAGCATGACAACGTGGAGAGGGGAGGCAAAGAAGGAAGCCAAGCCCATAAAGGAGGCGTCATGGAAGGTCTTGCAGCCACAGGCAATGCATCCCAACAGGACCTAGGCTGGGCAAGGCCATTTCCTTTTTGGAGTGCTGGTCACAGCCCACTAAAATGATGGCGCCATCCAGGAGTGAGCATGATCGCAGATTTAAAAGCACAAATGTATTCCAACCCCTTTGGTTCACAGATGAGAAAGCTAAGCTGTGGAGAGGTTAAGTCAAAGGTCACAAGGCTACTTCCTGGCAGAACCAGGATGTAAATGCTGGCTATTGTTATCAGTCTACTTATTAGAACTCAACTCAACTCAACTAATGTCTCTCTATAAGCCCTTCATTCATCTCCCTGGTTAGAATCCCTCTCCAGCCCTGCTCCCCCGGCCCACACAGTCCAGGCACCACTGACTCTATCTTGCATCTTTTTTAACATCTAACGTTCAGGTGCCCTCGTGTCCCTGTGGATATGGTGGCGTGGTCCCAGGCCAAGTAGTTACATGGCATCGTCCACACCACCAAACTGACCACTCCACCGCTCTCCTCTGCTGGCTCCTTGCCACGAAGCTCGGCAGCCCTAGGAGGTGTGCCCGGGGAGGGCCTTCCTTGAGGAAGTGTAGAGCTTGCTAAACTGAACAGAAGACCTCTGATGGGCAAAGCTGAACTTAACCTGAATCCTGATACACAATTTCAAGAAACACTGAAGGTCGGCCCAATCGATTTGGCAGACCAGGAGGAAGTGGGCAATTCAGCCCATAAATCCCACAGGGGTCCAAAGAAAGGCTGATGTTTAAAGCGTGGCCCTGGCATGAAGATAGACACACAGACCAACAGAAGAGAATCAAGAGCCCAGAAATGAACCCGCATGTGTGTATGGTCAACTAACATTTGGACAAGGAAGCTGAGCAGGTCAGGACATGCATCTTAGCTACAGCACTAAGCATGTCCCTTGCACAGGGTGGGCCGAGGGCTGACCTGGACAATAGCCCCTCGCCCGTGTAGCCATTTCACACTTGAAAGGAAGGCAATCCAAATCAAGGTCAGCAGTAAGCATAAAATATACACTGGATTTTGAACATATGGCGGGGGAAAAGACAGCAAAATGCCTCCAGACTCCACACTACAGTGACAACATTTTGATATAATGGGCTACATAACACATATTATGGAAATGCCTAGCCCTTGTTTATTTTCACTCTTTTGAATGTGGCCACTAGAAAACATTATATTGCCCGTGACATTCACATCCTATTTCTAGGGGTAATACTAAGGTAGACCCCCCCAGAAGTGGGCAAACTTCCCCGGCAAGGGCCCCGTGGTCAGTATCTATGGCTTTGCGGGCCATACTCAACGCCGCCATCACGGTGGGAGAGCAGCCAGGGACAATACATATGAACCTGACTTTGTGGCCAGAGATTCATATTTGACCCCAAACTACAGTTTGCAGACCCCTACTTTAGGACAATAATAGTATTCAGAAGGGTCATTTCTGGAAAATTCCACTCTATTTTCTCATGGATCTTTCATTCAACTGGAGGAGGGAAACATAAGTCTATTCAGGCTTCCCTGAGTTGGGCAGGTCCTGGGCCTCAAGGCAGCCCCCCCCCACCCCCTCCCACAGCCCCAGGCTCAGCTGCCCCAGGGCACCCACCATGCACTCACTTGGGTGTATGGGCCTCATCCACGCGGTGGCCCAGCTGGAATTCGTGGGACTTGCTCCGATGCAGGGCCGTGAACCCCGGGAGCAAGTGGATCAGCTTCCGGGAGGAGGGCGGCGGGGTCCCTGGGGGCTTCAGCTTGTTCTTCCTCCTCATGGGTGGCGTGCCTGGCGGGGTCACGGTGGTGACGATATTGGGGGTGCGTGGCGGGGTGCGGACTGCATGCCGCTGCCGGGGCGACGGGGGCAGGGAACGGTGGCCTGATTCCAGGGGCGGTGGCGGGCACAGGCCCGGGTAGGTGTCCACGGTGAGCCTGTCCACTTGGGTATACACAGGGGCCCCAGGGGTGGGGCTGGCGTGACAGTACAGCTGGGCACACTTGGACTGCACCCTGGGGCTCTGGGAGAGGTGGGTGCGGATCCATGGCGTCGGCTCCGGGGCACACACTGGGCTGTTCTCCTTCCCCGTCTCCGTGGTGGGCCACTGGATGGTCCAGTCTTGTTTGGAAAGGTTGCCGCCTGAGTTGTAACAAAGAAGCAGAGAACAAAACAGGTGTGTTACACTCTCTGTACTTATTCATATGTGCACTTTACACTGTATACACACTACACATGTGACAGCATATGCACACTACACTGTATTTGCTCAAGGAATACAAGTTTATTGTCCAATTAACATACGTAAAACCTGTTTAAGAAAGTAAAAATATTTTTTAAGTTATCTTCATAATACACTGCATTCCAAGGCATAAAAGAAGCAACTAGGACATTGTCACTAACTATAGCTCTTGCCCTCTCTGGGTGAAATGGAAAGAATGTGTGATAGGGCCTCTAGTATTATCTATAAGATGCCATGTACAATACATTATCTGTGATTGTCAGTGATAATAAGTGCAATAATGGGAAAGAAAGCAGGGCTTGGAACACACACACACACACACACACACACATACACACACACACATACACACAAAAAAAAAAACAATGCTGGGGAGTCCCTTCAGTCAGCAGAGAATGAGGAAGTGACAGTGGGCATCTGAGCAAATATCAGAGTGAAGTAAGGAGCACACAATGAGATAAAGTGAGTGAAGCCGTCAGCTCAGAGCCTGGACCAGCACGATGATGCAGGCAAGTAGGCAGGTGATTGAGGTCGCTGGAGACATCTAGTCTAGGTGCCTGGGACTCATCCAATTTGCTCCCCAGCCATTCACTGTGCTTCCCTTACCTGCCCTGTAAAGTAGGTCCTATTGATTCATTTTATAACTGAGTGTGAATGAGTGATAGGACTTGGCTAAAACCTCTTCCAGGGTAGCCACCTATAGATAAGCTGGGCTCACTGCCGCCCTTCACCTACAGTTGTTCACACACACACACACACACACACACACACACATACACACATACACACACACCTCCACTAGATTCAAGGAAACACCGAGTTGCCCCCAAGTATCCCCGTCCTGAAGTTGTTTCAAATTAACGTGCCCCGATGAACAGAGAGGAAGAAAGGTTTTACCCCGCCCAGTTCCCATCACCATCAAATCCTCGCCTCTCCATGCCTCCATTTCAAAATGAGAAGTTTGGGGATGAAGAGGCAAAGAGCCTCATCATCGTCCCACTGCCAGCTGCTCCACTGGCGGGGCCTCCACTCCTCCCTTCGAAGGCTGCTGCGGATGGACTGCATTATATCAACTCTTCCCTGCTGCTTTTGATCCCCTTTTTAATAGAGTCTCGGGGAAAAGGGTAATTTTTCATTTTAAATAGGGGAGGTGTGTACCAAGGTGTTTGGAGGGTTATTAATCGCAACCCTTGCTATCTTGTCATCCATTTCTGCAAAACCATTTTATTTCAGGTCTTGAGATGGGCGGGGAGAAGGGAATAGATTTTAAGGTGTGAAAGGTCTGGGGATTGATGAGAGACATTTCAAGATGCAGGGGGTTTTCTTTTGATATTCTCTAGGAAGGGACTAAGAAATAAAAGACATTTTCAAGGGAGGAAATGATTTCAAAAAATCTAGGCAAATGTCTAACTTCTTCATCCCTTCCCATTAAAATGCTATAAACAGGACAATGCACGACTCAGAATTCGTCAGACTTTCAGAGCCAGCCTTGGGTGCACATGCGCTTTAGCCCTTCAAAAGCAGGACTGGCAAAGAGACTACTGTTCAGAATCGCCATTTCTTGCAACTTCTATGAATATTTCAAAGCCCTTGTTAGTTTAATCCTCCAAGCTTTCCAGAGAGAATTAGATGTTGATTGAATATACTAGACTGAAGTTACTGATGAAAAAAAAAAAAGTAAGTTTTTACTTTAATCCTCATAATTTTGTAGCAAGAAATGGAACTTTTAGATGCTGTTTGAAAATGTTTAAATACTAGTAGAGTCACTAGTTATGCAAAAAAAATCATAGTAAGAACAATTATCATTCACACAAATAGTAGTTACTGTTTATTGAGCATTTACCAGATAGTCTTCTAAGTATTTTATACGCATCACTTTACATTATCCTCCTGAGACCCTATAAAGAAAATTCTGCTATTGTCTCCATTTTCCAGGGGTGGAAACAAAGGATTATCTAAGACACTGAACTGCCCAAGATCACACTGCAGGTAAGAGTGCGGCTTCCAATCCAGGTGTGCACCCCTCACCACCATGGCTCTCTCGGGAGCCCCCATCTCCCTCGAAAGCCCTGGAAAGTCTGAACGCTTTCCCACAGACCTTCAGATCACCACCAGAAACAACGCTCTGACCCTCCAAAAGTCAAATAGGACACTGGTTTCAGCCATAATCCTTGCAAGGGTAAGATCTGAAATCCAGGAAGAATTTTCAAGTTTCTAGTGTGTATGATTGCAAAAAGAAGTAAGTATGGACAGATGAAAAGCACACAGTTGTCAGAGCAATTCAACAGTGTCCAGAATCTTAACCTAAGACTTCATGAATGAGCTCAGCATCCAACCAAACCCTGGGTCCCTCTGGGCACTGTCCCTCCCTCAGAATGTCCCCAAGTCAAACTAAACAAGTGTACTGACCCCAGCCTTTGCAGGTCAGTCACCTGGGAGATGGGATGGGGCAGAGACCATGGGTTCTGACCTGGTAATCCTTCCCAGGTCCGGCTCTACAAGGCATTTGCGATTTTACGCCCCACCACGAGATCTGGCCTGATTAACCTTTAGTCACTAACTTTAGGGTAGGTAGCTTTTCTGTTTTAACAAAGCTCTTTTTTTTCTGATTTGTTTTTATTGAGATGAAATCCACGTTAACCATTTTAAAGTGTTGAATTCAGTGGCATTTAGTACATTTACAATGCTGTCTCTATCAATTTCAAAATATATTCATCAATCCCCAAAGAAAAGATCACACCTACCAACCAGTCATTCCCCATTCCTTCTTCCTCCCAGCAACCACTAACCTGCTGCCCGTCTCTATGGATTCACCTACTCTGAATAGCTCATACAAGTGGAATCACACAATGTGTGGTCTTTTGTGATGGCTTCTTTAAAAAAATATATCTTTTTACTTATTTTAGAGAGAGAGGGAGGGAGAAGGATAGATAGAAACATCTATGAGAGAGAGACATCCATCAGCTGCCTCCCACATGCCCCCCACTGGAGATTGAGCCCTCAATCCAGGCATGTGCCCTGACTGGGATTTGAACAGGGACCTCTTGGTTCATGGACTGATGTTCAACCACTGAGCCACGCCGGCTGGCTGGCTTCTGTCACCTTGCAAAGTGTTTTCAAGGTGCACCCATGTTACATCCTGGATCAGAATCTCGCCCCTTGGCTGAGTAATATTCCATGATGTGGTCAGATCACATGTTGTGCATCCATTTATCAGCTCATGGACATTCAGGTTGTTCCCACCTTTTGGCTATTAAGAACATTTGCATACAAGTATTTGTTTGAACAACTATTTTTCGGCTCTTTGGGGTGTATACCTAGAAGTAGACTTGCTGGACCACATATTCATTCATGTTTAACCTTCTGAGAAACCACCAAACTGTTTCCCACTGTGGCTGAGCCATTCTACATTCCCACCAGCACTGCACTCCATCCAGGCATTCTTTGTGTGCCAAGAGACACTGGCTTTGAACAAACCCAAAGAAGCACACAGAAAATTGTGAAAAATGATCTGGCCCGGGACCGCCTCCCACAGAAGGCAAGATGGATGTGCAGTCTGACCTAAACAGATTGGTGGCTTCAAAAATCCAAACGAACAAGCAAAAATCAATATTCTCCAAAGGAGACCCAGAATCCCACGACAAATATTCCAAACGCCCAGGGGATACACCCAAACCACCGTCATGCTTTAGGACACCCATAATGTAGAGCAGTTCTCAGCCTTCCTAATGCCACAACCCTTTAATACAGTTCCTCATGTCGTGGTGACCCCCAACCATAAAATTATTTTCGTTGCTACTTCATAACTATAATGTTGCTACTGTTATGAATCATAATGTAAATATCTGATATGCAGGATGGTCTTAGGCGACCCCTGTGAAAGGGTCGTTCGAC